AGCTGACTGTCACAGAGCCCAGCACCCTGCCAAGCACAGTGAGGGTCTGCAGACCCCCTGGAGGAAGACCCTGGGATGGGGGGCAGAGAGAAGCAGCTTGTAGTGCCCGTCCCCACCCCCGAGCACAGCAGAGAGTGTGATGGCCATGGGCGCCACCTCCCCCAGCCTCCGAGGAGGTGACCTCTGCTGAGTGCCTCCAGGAAGCTGCAGGCTGCGCTCACCTCCCGCGGTGAATGCTGAGTGCCCACCTGGGCACCTTGCTCCTCTGTGTCCCACACAGGTCCAGCAGGGGACCTGGAGCAGGTGTTTTCTAATTATCTGTAGAACCCACCCAAAGTGACTCTAGGCAGGACCCAAAGAGACCCACAGGATGTGGCCACAAAGCCCGCAGGCCCCGGCCTGGCCTGCCCACCCCTGCAGCTCTCCCCAGGTCCTGTCCCTGGCTCTTCTCCACGTGCTCAGAGACAGGGCAGGGATGAGCCCCGGGGCCAGGCACCCCAGGATGAGGAGGGGCTGGGCAGTCCTGTGGGTGGCAGCGCCTTGTTAGGGCGAAAGGGCAGTGACAAGGGAATCTCAGGGGCTGTGGGACTGAGGCCCCAAGGTCACCAAGGTCACATGGCCTCTGCTGCCCGAGCCCCCACCCCATGGGAAGCTCCTTCAGGTGGAGGGTGGCCTGGGTCCTCACTTCTCCACCTAAGCCCTGTCCTGTCAAGCAGGAATGATGACCCCAGCAGGTGTGAGGCCAGCCGGAGCAGCTGGGCCCGCGGGCGAGCACACCCGGCGCCCTAACCCGCTGGAAGAACAGCCCCGCGGCAGATGGAGAGGCCCAGGGGGCAGCAGCCTCAGCCCTGGGCACGCCATCGCAGGTCTTCCAAATGGGCCACTGAGGTTGACAGCCTGCTGGGGACAAGCTGCTGGTGGCCCTGGCTAGTCCTGTCCCTCGGCACCAGGCCCAGAGGTCATCAAGCCCCTGCCTTCTGCTGCCTGGAAATCGGCCACAGAACCATGGGGGGGCTACCCTGGGCTGCACGGAGGCCCTGAGGGGGCGAGTGCCCTGGGCAGAGCATGGGCCATCCTCCCTGGAGAAGGAGCCTGAGCTGAGACCGTGTCTGGGAACCAGGCTGCCACTCACCCAGGCCTCAGGCCCCCGCGGCTCCTATTCCTAGGGGTGCTAAGGAGGCTGTGAGCCTCTCCAGCTTGGCCCAAAACCAGGGCCCTGCTGGGCTCTGGCAATTAGCTGACTGTTCTAATTTTGGAACTTTTTGTCTGGGCTCTCCCTGGGGCTGCAGAAAGCCTGAGGGTGCAGGTCCCCAGAGAGCAGGCTGGGAGCACCCTCAGGCTTCTCCCAAGCTTCCTGCCCTCCCGCAGCCGCCCTTCCCAATTCCTGGGCCCACTGGCTTTTTTTTTTTTTTGGTACTAGGGAGTGAACCCACAGGCGTTTAACAATGAGCCCCAGCCCCCCATCCCCAGCCCTTTTCTTTTTAAAAACAAAAATATTTTATTTACAGACAGGGTTCCGCTGAGTTGCTAAGTGCCTCTCTAAGTTGCTGATGCTGTCTTTGATCCTCCTGCTTCAGCCTCTGGAGCTGCTGGGATTATAGGCCTGTGCCACCACACTTGGCCCTCCATCGGCTTTTTWAAAAATATTTTTAGTTGTCGATGGACACAATGCTTTTATTTTATTTATTTTCATGCRGTGCTGAGGATCAAACCCAGTGCCTCACGCCTGCCAGGCGAGTGCTCCACCACTGAGCCCCCACCCGGGCCCCCGCACTGGCTTTTGACTCAACAGCTCCCAGTTCCCTAAGCCAGCGTCCTGTGCCCATAAGGGCCGGGCCAGCCCCAGGGAGCAGAGGCAGGTGCTCCTGGGCCCATCCCCCAGATCTGGCTCTGACCCCAGCTGCTCAGGTGGCTTCTTCTCTGGATGCCCAGAAGCTGGTCTGCCCCGAGGAGGGGACCCCTAACCCCTGAGTCAACACCTCCCTGGCCTGGCCGCAGGGCTGCCACTGGAAGACAGGTCTCAGGCCTCGCTGTCCAGCCCCTGACCAGGTCAGGCGCAGGGCCTGTGGGGGAGGATGTCCCTGTGCCACAGGCTGGTAAACCGGCAGCAGCGAGAGTTAGCCAGGCCCCTGAGCGGAGCTGCATGCCCCAGCCTTGGTACCCAGCCCCCTACGTGGCCCAGGGATGCTGGCTGAGGAAGCTGGTCTGCAGCCCTGGGGCCTCCACGCCACTGGCCTGGGAGACGGAAGGGAGCGGGGAGGTGGCTCCGTCCCTGTGTCTGCCCCAGGGGCCCAGCAGGAGAGGAGCCCCCGAGGCCAGCAGAGCCCAGGTCAGTGCCTGCAGGAGAGGAAGCTGTGGAGGCCAGGGGCGTACCACCAGAGAGGACCAGAGGAGCTGGGGACACAGGTGGAGCTCAGGGGGCCGAGGGGGCAGGGCCCTGTGGAGCAGCGTGGAATCATCAGCCCCACCCTAAACACCACCGACAAGCCTCGAGGCAACACCCGAGGGCTCAGGATCTCTAAGTGACTCCGGGACCTCAGGAATACTTGCAGGAGCCCAGGAACATCCAGCACTCCACCAGGTGGAGTTGGCAACATCGGGCACGGGACCAGAGATCACCGCACTAGCCAAGAATGCAAGCCACAAGTAAGAAAAGCCAGCAAAGCTGGCCCAGAGATGAGGAGGAGAGGAGGGACGGACGGCTGGAAAGAGGGGCCAGTGTAGGACATCGAGGGCTCGCTGCCCCGGGCCAGCAGGAGCTTGCAGGAGGTGCGGACACCTGGAGGCCTGGGGAGGGGCTCCTGGCCAGGACAGTCTCATGCCCCAGAGACCCCACCGTGGCGGGGGCAGAATTGGATGAAAACTGAAGACTTGAGATCCAAGGACCCTCAGGACCCCCAACCACGGGAGCATGAGAAAGGAAGGAAACCTTGAAGGGGGTCATGGGGACCCAGGGGCCCGGTGCTGGAGCTCTGAGCCCACCCTTGGACACCAGCCCTGCGTGGCCCTGGCCAGCCTTCTGCCCCAGCGGACTCCAGGGATGTGTGGTTCTGACCTCTCCTGCCTCCTGGAGGCTGAGCCAGGCTGCACACACAGCGGGTGCCCAGCTGCTATCTGGGGTCAGCGGAACCCCTCCCTCACACTGCTGCGGCCCTGCGTTGCCCTCTGCTCTCCCGGGCCCAGCCTTCCAGGTCTCCACGGAAACTGGCCTCGGGTCTGACCACATGTCTCCCGCGCCGCTGCCCGTTAATCGGAGCCCCCCAGGGCTCCCTGCCCCCAACGCCCGGCTCTTTCCTGGCTCTGCCTCGGCGTTCTCAAAGCCCTGGGGGTGCTTTAAAAACTCTCTGGATTCTTGTAACCCCGTTTATTTCTCTTAACGCTGGCAGCCTGACAGACTCTGGTTATTCTTAGTGCTAAATTATTTATCTCCCTTCCCCTCCTCACCCGCACTCCACGATCTTTAACATGGCTCCTGGGGCTCAGCAGAGGCCCATTTTTCCCCCACTCAAAATGAAGTAATTTTAAAATCTTTTGTCTTTAATTTTTTATCACCCAAACCATGCATGTGGTATTTGTTTATCAAGGGGTCGAAACCTGGCCAGTCACTGAGTCCCGGCACTCTCCGCCTCTAGCTCTGCCTTGGCCATGAGCCACTTCGGGGCCCTGAGTGACAGGAAGTCACTGGCCTCGGAAGGCAGGGGTGGAGGAGGAGGAGGCTACAAACAGTACCAGCCTCCGGGCTCCCCAGATCCCCTGGGACGGACCTCAGGAAACAGCCCAGCCAGACACACCGGCCCTCGACCTGGAGCCCACACCTCCAGGCTGGGTGGCCTTGCCAAGTCAGCCCCTGTCGGCTCATCAGGAGGCCAGAAGGCCAAGAGCTCAGCCAAGGGACAGATGCCGACCACACCACCTGAGGGCTCTGCTGGCCGCACTTCCCTCCCTGAAGATGGCCGACCGCCCTGGCGGGTGGGACAAACCCATCATCCCTCACTGAAGCTCAGAAACCACCTGGATCCCAGCAACTCAGGAGGCTGAGGCAGGAGGACTGCAAGTTCCAGGAGAGTTTAGCGAGATCCCGTCTCTCAATAAATACATGGAAGGGCTGGGGACGTCGCTCAGTGCGGCACACACACCCCTGGGTCAAATCCCCTCCTACCACAAAAAAAGAAAAGAGCCCGACGGGCAGGACCTCGGAGCCCCCTCCCTGGAACCTGGGTCAGCAGCCAATCTTAGGACAGGCTCTATCCACCTCAGGGGCCGGGCAGTCTCTGGTGGCCAGCGTGGCCAGAGCGAGGTCACACCCCTCAGCCGGAGCCATCTCCAGACAGGAAGACTCAGGCAGGACTGGCCACTCTCCCACTCTACCTGCCAACTCGGCTTCCCCGACTCAGGAGGCTCCACGTGACACTGGCCCTCTGTCCCGGCGGGGGGGACAGCCACAGGTGGGTGCTTCAGCCTGCCAGCACCCAGCTGCCTGGTGCCCCTTCCGGACACAAGATAAGCACATCCTTCCATGCCTCCAGCAGGCTCTGGGCCTCGCCGGCCCCAGGTCGCTGGTGCTGCAGAAAGCACTCTGCACTGCCCTGAGCCCCCAGCTGCCCAGAAGCTGCACCTCAGTTCTGTGAGAAGGGGGGCGGCCCTGGACACAGACTGTGTCACCCTGCTGCCCAGCGTCCCTGGGATTAGACAAAGGGCTCATTCACTGAGGCCCACAGTCCATGGAGCAGAGAGCCAGGCCAGAGGCCACCCGGGGACTCTCTCCAGGAGTGGACACCGTAGCGGTGCCAGAGAACTGTGAGCACTCTGCCTCTGCAGGCAGAGGTGGGACCCCAGAGAGCAGCAGGGCACATGTGCCTGCCCGGTGGCCCACGGGGACACGGGTCTCTGCCTTCCTGGGGCCCTCATCACCCCTTCCCGTTTGCTGGCCCTGCTTTGGGTGGACGCAGCTCAAAGAGGGGCCCGGGAAGGACTCTCAGGGAGCTCTCTTCTCCCCGCAGGCCTGATGGGACCACCACGGCAGAGCTGGTGGCAGACGCATACCCAGGTAGGCAGCTGTGGTGGCCCACGGTCAGGGCCCACGGCCATTTGTCCACATCTGGAGAGGCGGGCAGGAGTACAGCAGGCACCCCAGCCAGCCAACCTGCTCACAGTGGACGCTGGGGCTGCCGGCAGTGTGGGGTGTGGACCCCAGGCCCTGGGCCTGGGAGATGGGGCCTGGATGGGGAGGGGTTCCGGCTGCTGGAGGGTCGGGCGCTTGGGCCCAGGAGCATTGGAAGGTGATGGGAATGTTCCAGAAGGGAAGAGAGCCGCCGGGGGAGCCATCTTGCCATCACAGAGGGGGCTGCCATGGCGGTGGCCAAACGAGCAGAGGGCTTCCCTGCAGTGAGGCCATGCAGGCTTGGTGGCAGGTCCAGGGAGACCAGGGGGACTCATGTTGGGCCCCTGTGGACGGACACCGGCTTTCCCAGCAACAAAGCTCCTCCTGCCCTCGCCCTCCTGACCCCAGAGGCCTCATAGGGCAGAGCGAGGGCCTGAGCAGCTGTCGGACAGAGCTCTTGGGGCCCAGTGACCCCTGCAGGCAGCTTCAGGCCTGGGCTTCTCCAGGAGCCTGGACCTCAGCCCYACCCTCTGGGCCCAGGCCCCAGGCCCCAGACAAGCTGAATGCCTGTAGCTTCCTCAGAGGAAACGGACACCTGGAAGGGCTGGGGGACGGGGCAGCTGACGTGCGTCCAACAGAGACAGGCTGCCTCTGTCTGCCTGGCCCACAGAAATGGCTGCTGCCCTGCGGCTCCAGGATGGTGGCTGGCGGCCAGCAAGATCCAGGGCCCAGCCCCACCTCTCCAGAGTCTGGGACGACCTGAGACATGGACGCTTCACACGGCTAGGATTGCTGGCAGGCCCGAGGTCAGCTGAGACAGGGCCACCACTCAGTCCCAGGTCCACAGCCCCCACTGTCCAGCCGCCCCAGAGGAGTGCTTAGGCTGGGAGAAGGACCAGGATTTCGGGCAGGGTCCCTCATTGCTGGACAGCAGCTGTCACGTGGTCCACTGCTGAGCCCCCAGGAGGCTCTGAGGAGCCCCGGTGTGTGCGCTGGGCTCCGGGAGGAGCACCCAGGGTGCTGGGGGTCAGCACCCTGCTCTCTCCCGTAGAGCCGCAGACCCTGGGAGAAGGATCATTTGCCTGGGACTCATTCCCAGAGCTGTGGCAGCTCCGGGAGTGAGGGGCCACCCAGGGGCCAGGTGACACCAGACCCAGGCCTTAGCATGTGGCCACCGCCGGAGCCCCCTCCTGCCAGCCTCTTCCCGGTGCTGAGGACCGGGGTCAGATCAGGCCTGCAGCCTGGGTTCCCCGGCCACTGCCCAGCTGAGCTCACCCTGGCTCCACAGCCAGCCGCCCTGGCCGGCTGGCGCAGCTGCGTGTTCTGAGGAACGCCTAGAGACAGGCTGCTTGGGAACACCCTGGCCCGCTGGGGAGGCTGACCTGATGCTGGCCGCCCGGCTGCAGAATGTGTCCCTCCCCCCAGGCGCCCCAGCCCAGCGTGCAGCCCCCAGAACCGTGGCTTCTTCTGACTCAGGGAACAGACTCCCGGCCCCTGAGCCCACTCTTCCTGCCCCAGGAATGTGCAGGCGTCCCCAGCCCCCGCCCGGCCGCCCAGGAGAGCGGCCCGTTTTTCCAGGCCTGGCGTCTGGAATGTCGATCTGCTCTGCTCAGCTGCGGCCACATTCCTGGTGTGAGCTGGGCCAGCCTGGGGAGCCTTTTCCCTGCTCTGGTGCCAGCCCCGGCGGGCGCAAGGGAGGGGGAGAGGACCGTTTCTATGGCAACCTCCCTTTTTGTTATTTCTTATTTTCTTTTTTATGGTTTCTCCAACTTTGAAGCTCTCCAGACAGTTTACAGACTGCAGAAAGGAAAAGTCGTTTTCCTGCTCGGGAGCCCCCCAGCAGGCAGCCCTCAGGCTCCCCGAGTCCTGGATGGCCCCTTTCCCGCATCGGGCTGGGCCGGGGGTGTCTAAACCAAAGCAGACGCGCCGGGCCTCAGCGGCCTGCTTCCTTCAGACATTTTAGAGGAATCAAGTAATTTTCCTCCTGAAAAAAGTAGGAAAATGTTTCCAGGAGAATCGCTGAGCCACATGGCCAGTTAGCTGTGGGTGGACCCCCAGGGCCAGTCGGCTGGGGGTAGATCCATAGGGCCAGGGCTCTCCCTCATCACCTTCTTCCAGGATCACCCACTGACCGTCCAGGGGGGTGGCTGCCGCGTCCCAGGACACCTGGAGCCCCAGGTGGGCACTGGGCAGGGTCCTGAAACAGGGTGGCAGGTGAGGATCACAGGCCGAGGGGCCTGGACAGGGTGGGCAGGAGCCTGGGCGACGTGTCCACCAGGGGCCCCAGGACCAGCTCCACCCGTTCCCTGCAGGGGAGTATGTGATCCTGATCAATGACGTGACCACCCCGCCCTTCCTGGGCCGCACACTGCCCACTGCCTTCAAACACCTGCGGGTCTTGGCCAAGGGGACCGGCCAGAAGCCCCAAGACCCTGAAGCCAGAGGCAGCTCGTGACACACCTAAGAGCGCAGCACCTCGGAGGCCACCTTCGTCTGGAAGGCAAGTTCCTGCTGCCTCCCCAGGAGCCCATGTCCCATGTCCCCGGGTGGCCTGAGCAGCCTGGGTGTGCAGGGCTGCCCACGGGAGTCCCGTGGCCACTGGCTTCAATAAAGCACTCCACACCAGCTCCTGAGTGGCACGTGCATGGCCCTCCCAGGTGCACAGGTGGGTGGAGCTGGCCAGCACCGAGCTGGGAAGTCAGAGAGGTCCCACAGGACAAGTGGGGTCACTTCTGCACCCCGTAACTGGGGCCTTTGCTGCTTGGCCAATGCCCTTTGAGGCCTGCACATCTGCCCCATCCAGGCCCTGCCCAGGCCAGAAGCCTGCATTCGAATTCTCTGCCAGCTCAGGCTGGGGACAGGGGTGGCCCAGCTGCCTCTGCCAGGCACTGCCCACCCATGCCAGGTCAGGCTGCAGCAGCAGCAGGCAGTGTGTCTGGGCACCACCTGCCRCGGTGATAAAGGAGGGTCGTCCAGGGGTTTCACTGCTGCCCCTGAAGGGCATGTTGGCCACTGAGGAGACCCAGGGAAGTTGGCCACTCGGTCTACCTGGATGACCCCTGGAAGGGCCTCCTGGCTTGGCCGTGCCCTCCTGGACTCCGTGCAGGCCCTATATGCTGGCCGTCTGTGCGCTGCCTCACCGCCTCCGCCTGATGCCTGCTCTCCTGGTCACTGCCGGCAGCCAGCTGCTCAGCTGGCCATGCACCACCTCCCCCAGGGAGGAGTAGGCCACAGGGGCCCATCCAAACCCAGCTCCTGCCAGCTCTCTGCGAGGTGGCTCTCCATCCCCAGCCACAGCCCCCTGTCCCTACCCCAACAATTGTCCCCTGTGCCCACAAGGGGCAGGATGCTGCCCTGGGCCATGCTCTCCTGCCCCACACACCTGCCTCCACCTGCCTGCACAGCAGCCTCATCTGGAGAGGCCCAGCACCCCGTGGCTCTGGGGTGAGCAGAGCTGAGCCCCAGGTGCACCCGCCCACGGGGAGCAGGGCAGGCAGTCCTTCTCCAGGGCAAGGTGGCATTTCCAACCTTGGGCCACCCACAGGCCATAGCCCCTCTCCACCAAGGCATCAGGCTCCCGTGCCTGACCCTGGGCACCGGCCACCAGCCTCCTCGGCCGTCGGTGGGGTTTCAGACTCCCTTGCACTCAGCGCCCCCCACACCTGGGCTGCACCCACCTGGCCATCTGCCTCCGAGGAACCAGGAGGGCCAGGAGGTGGGGAGCCGTGCGGGCGACTCGGGGCCACACCCGCCAACCCCCACGTGACTGCCCTGGGCACCCTCTGCCCGGTCTCCCCTCAGACACAGCGAGAGGTGCTCTGCAGCTTTTTCTTTTTTCTGCTTCAAGATGAAACCACATTTCTGTCCAAAGAAAAACAAAGAAAATGATGTTTCAATTTAGGAAGGAAAAATTGCTGGGAACGGCAGCAGCTGCTGCGTCCAGCGTGTGGAGAGCRTCCTTTGGTATTTAATTCCCCCAAAGCATGCGTGGTTTTTAAAGTCACAAACCCACGGCAGGAAGCTCAGAGCCACTGCTCCACCCCGGAGGCACGGGGGCGGGTCTGCGCCTCCAGAGGGCTCCCCTGGGAACAAGAGGCCAGTCCCGGTCCTGCAGGCTCAGGCCGCGGCTCTGCAGGAAGGAGGCCCTCTACACCTCCTCCTTCCCAGGGCCAGCAGCCACCCAAACCTGCCTGTGGGCCTCAGAGCATGGGGGGCTCAGGCAGGACACTCGGTCCTCTGCCCCTCGTCCGAGACTGTACCCAGGGCCTCCTGCTCCCAGCCTGGAGCCACCGAGGTGGCTGTTCACTGCCAGGTTGTCCTCTGGCTGTCCCTCAACCCCTGCCAAAGGGGTCCCAGTGACGACAGCAGAGGTGGCCGTGGACGGGCTCTGCCTCTTCCAGCTCAGTCCAACTCTGGGCCTGGCCAGCACCCCCGTGGGGCCAGAAGACCACGTCCACCTCAGCCCCACCTTGAAACTTCCCCACAAACTAAATACATGCAAATTTTCAATTCTCCGACAATGGAAGAGGCCAGAGGAGAAGGGCTCTGTCCCGGACGCAGAAGGTGAGGGAGAAGAGCGGGTCCGCAAGGGGGCCGAGAGGGGCAGGGTCCTGCCCCAGCTGTGGACCAGGAAGGGGTGGTGGTGGGCCAGGCAGCTGTGCAGCTCAGGGTCCCTCCCACCCAGGTCTGCAGCATGCCCCCAGGAGAGGGCAGGGCTCCCTGGGGCCAGCCCGGCCAGCAGCGCAGGCCCCGGGGACTCAGGGAGGCAGCCAGGGTCCCCTCKGGTCCAGGCAACCTCTTGGGCAGTTCGGAGGTCTGGCAACTCATCCGGAGGGCCCTTCGCCGTCCTGGGGTTTGTGGGGATGGTGCATTCTCGCCCACAGGCCGTCAGCTGGTGGGCCCACTCAGGAGTCCGCCTGGCCCACCCTGTGGGAGCCACTCTCCCACGGCCCACCCACAGTGGCCAGAACTAGCAACTGAGTGCTCAGCCTAGGGCAGGGCCAGGCAGGGGGACCATGTCCAGGGGGAGGACCGGGTCCAGGCAAGAGGACCGTGTCCAGGAGGAGGATCATGTTCTGGGGAGGACCAGGTCCAGGGTGTGGCCTGTCACAGCTGCCCTCTGGTTCTGGCCCATCTTGGTCTGAGCACTGATTCCCGGGGAGCCAGGCCAGGCCTGACATAGCTCCCGTCTCACCCCAGGTGGCCCGGGGTGGCCCAGGTGGCAGTCAGCCTGCCAGCATAGCTGGATGGGAGCTGATGGTAGTCGGCCGCCCCTAGGCTGGTGGGGTTGAGCATGAGGTGGGCCGGGCCTGCCCCTGGCCTGCAGGCCCAGGGGCGGGTGCAGGCCCAGGGGCGGGTGCAGGCCCAGGGGCGGGTGCAGGCCCAGGGGCGGGTGCAGGCCCAGGGGCGGGTGCAGGCAGGGCCTCTGGGTGCCTCCCCTGGGAACCGGGACAGGGGTGGGCATGAGACATGAGTTGACCTTTGTACCCCCAGAATACCCCGAGGAGCTCTTGCCCCAGGAGGGTCTTGGGCAGGGGATCCAGTTCCCAGGCTCTGTTGAGTCCTCCCCTGTGCCCCTCTCCTGATTTGTGACCCCCGCAGGGAGGGGAACAGCCCCTTCACTGGACCCCTTGATGATATGCGTTGATGGGAAGGAAGGAGCGTCCTCTGTGGTCTCTGTGGGGAGGGTGATGACAGACGACCAAGGGAGAGGGACTCAGAGGGAGGGAGGGAGGGGTGCCTGCCCCCCCCCACCACCACCCAACCCGCTCCCAGCAAGGCCTCAGCCACCCTGCAGACCACGAGACGCACAGGGGGTCAGCAGAGGACAGCCTGAGCAGGCCGCAGCCCAGGACAGGAGCTGGACAGGTCTGTCTAGTCCCTGCCACCTTCTTATTGGGCCACCTGGCACAGGAGGCTCCTCCCAGCCTCTGTGCTGGCCAGACTGGTCACTCAGGACACTCCCAGGGGAGGCCTCCCGGAGTCCTGTCTGCAGCCTGGGCAGCCTGCCTGGTGTCAGTGCCAGAAGGAGATGAGGCCAGCTGTGTGGAGCCTGGGCGCCTCCCAGGCAGGGCTTCCTGGAGGGTGCCCAGCCTGCCAGACTGGTTTCTGAGCAGCCCGGCCGGCCCCTGCCAGCCCACTGCCTGCCTGGGAGCCCGCCGTCCTCCGGCCGTGTTGTGGGCAGCCACCAGGCCTGTCTCAGCATGACCCCTGGCCAGCAAACGACTCTCCGTGACAGGAGCTGCCCGGCCCTTGCCCCGTCCCRCTCCCGCTTCTTGAGGGCAGCGAGAGCCACCCAGAGCTGAGCGGGCAGACCCTGGGGGGCACTGCCAAGAGGGACATGAAGGCCAGGAAGCCCTAGGAGGTGGGCAGAGGCTGCCTGTGGCCCCTGGTGGCCCTGGGCTGAGGCCCCAGACCCAGGACTAGAGGCCCTCGGCATGCCTTGGGGAAGCCCTGTGGGGACCTGGGGACAGTAGGAAGTAGGGCCCAGGTGGCCACCCACATCCAGCAGAGTGGCGCCTTCTGAGCTTCTCTTGGCATGGGAACTCAGGTCTCTGAGGAGCACACAGGCTGACCTTTGTCACGGCCAAGGATAAAGACCATAAATAAGGCTGCCCATGGTCAGCTGGACAGCCCCGGCAAGGCCTAGCCAGTTGTGGCTCTCAGGGGGACAGTGCCAATCTTGAGGACAATGTGCATGGATAGGAAGGGACACTTCCTCCCGCAGGTACCTTCACCCCAACCCTGGACAGGGGAGCCCCCGAGTGACACATCTCCAGAGCCCCACTGGGGTGGGCCTGAGTGGAGGGAGCCCCTCAGGGCCACCTGCCCACTGAGACCCCAGCCACCAGGGCCAGCGGCAGGCCTCCCTGGATCCTGGGCCTGCAGCAGGGATGGGCCCCGACACCGGGTCCTGGCACCTCTGGCTCCCGGGCACGGTCCACTTGCTCAGTGCCAACAGGGGAAGCCAGGACCCAGCCCTGGCTGGGCCGACCCTGGGCGGCTGGCTCCCTACTGCCCGGCCTGCGGCCGCCCCTAGGAAGCCTCCCCTGGAGGAAGCTCTCGCCAAGGTGGTAGAGCCAGGCTGTCACAGGCCCAGGCCGGCTCCGTGCCCTGCCACCCTCACCTGGCATGGGTGGGCCTGCCCTCCCTGACGTCTGCCTGGCTTCTGAAGCCCAGGCTGCCCCTCCTGGGTCTCATCAGCTACACTGACCTCGACTGGGGATCTGTGGAGGGTGTCACAGTAGCCCTCACTCGGGGACAGTTAGGCACTGGCCAGAGGAAGCTGGGTGTGGGGCAGATGGGAGGGGAGTTCAGCCTGGAGCTGGGGCAGTAACGAAAAGAGGTCCCCAGGATGGGAGGAGCGGTCCAGGCCGTGGGGGCTGGGGTCTCAGTGGGCAGTGGGCCCAGGATGGCCCTGAGGGGAGAAGCAAGCTGTGGGTACAGAGGACAGGTGCGCGGGTATCATGGGGTCACCTCCCCGATAGAGGCGAGGGGGCAGGGTGGGGTCCCAGAAGGAGAGGTATTTCTGGGGTCCCTCTCTGCAAACTTTGTGATGTGGGGGCTCCTGTGGTTGGAGCCACTAAGACCCCAGCCCCCAGCTACCCCTGCCGGCCTAGGAAAGGTGGGCTCAGGGAGCAGGCAGCTGTACCGGACAGGAAGGGCCACCCGCTGTCTGCCCGTGGAGGTGACTCCCTTCACGGGTCGACTGAGCCCTCCTGGACCTGTCACCCAAGAGCAGGACTGTCCAGGCTGGTGACTCCCTCACCCATGGCCAGAGGGAGTGGGAATCTGGGGTGTGCACGATTCCTGGGTGACATCACACAGTGTCCTTCCCTGAGATGGGCACACTGCGGGGGCGCTGTGAGGCCAGGGTGCAGCCAGGGCGGGGGGCCCAGGCCCCACGGCAGAGCTTTCTGGGCTGGGTGTCCCTGGCCCTCGGGATGGGGTACGACACTCTATCTGTTGCACCCTGAGCTGTCAGCTCAGGTTCGGGAGTGGCCCCAGGAAGCCACCAAGCACCGTAGGGCACTCTAGGCAGGGTGTCCCCTGCCAAGCGGGGTGAAGTGTCCCAAGTCCTGGGCAGAGCCTGCTGTCGGCGGGGCCCCAGCCCTGGGGTCAGCTCGCCTGGCCCAGGGCCGTCTGCGCGAGGCAGCCTGCTAGGCACAGTGGGGCCCCAGGGGGCAGCAGCCCTCATGCCGTCCCCTTCTGTCCTGTCCTGGCCTGAACAAGCAGAGTGAGGCCTTGACCACTGCAGCTCCCCCCTCCAAGCTGGGGCTCAGCACACGGCCCCCGTCCTAGAGTGGCCTGGGATGGCTGCAGGGAGGGTAGACGTCAGCCGGCCCTGGACCAGGGGCTCAGGGACCAGGGGCTCAGGGWCGCTGTTATTTGGGTCTGACCCAGAACGGGTGCTTGGCTGGGGTCTTTGCGGAGGGGCCCCACACGGAGCTCTCTCTTTTGGGTGCCCGGTCCCCGGGTCTCAGGACCAGGTCCCTGTGCAGCAGGAGCACCATGGGCGAGAGCCCAGACCCGGCTTCCTGCCCGGGAAGGCTGCCAGGCCCAGCCACGGGAGCCGGAAAGTCCAGCCCGGCCTGGTTGGACTCCTGGCCCAGCACAGGATGCTGCAAAGACTAGCCGGGCTGGCGGGCTCCCTGGCCTGTCCCCCGCCTGCAGTGGGCCACCTGCTCCGGGCCGGGTGCCCTGGGTTCTGAGGCCTCCACCCACCTGGCGAGGCCTGGTCACAGATGGCCATGTGCGTCAGAGGCCACGGGGTGGCAGAGGAGGGCAGGCATCCAGTCCTCAAATGTCCTGTGCCCGCCCCTCCCCAGGGTCACGGGAGCAGAGTGGGTTTTGGTCATGGTGGGTAGTGTCCTCCCAGGCCAGCCCTGCTGGGTCACCACCCTGCCCCTTCCTCAGGGAAGACTGTCCCTGGGTCCCTTTTCCTTAGCATGTCCACCTTCCTGCAGGTGACCGTTCCACAGGTCCTAGGTGGAGGTCCTCCCCTCAGTCTCGTGTGGTGGGGCCTGGGCCTCGTCTCCGGGGACAGGCTGGACGTGGGGTCGTTAGTGCAGGTGCCGGGCCGAGGCTGGACACCTGGGTTGGTCAGGGCAGGGGGTGGAGCCCTCCCAGCCCGGGGGCATCCAGCTCAGAGTGCCCTCCTCCAGTAGCAGCCAAGCAGCAGGGCTGCTGACCACCACTGGGCACCCAGGACCCCAGGGCACACCCAGGGCACAGGCTGTCACGTAGACCCCACTGGGCGGGGGGCAGGGGCCAGGGGCACGCCGTCGGTGGGCCGCAGTCAGCCCCCTTAACCACAGACTGGGGCTCCAGGAGGGGAGACGGGCACAGCTGTGACCTAGGGTGGGGGGGGGGGGGGGGGGGCGCAGCTGTTGGTGACCAAGACAGAAATGGAAACTGGGACGGGAGTCACAGGGCAGGGACGGGAACTAGGGCCCAGCTGGAGGGCCGCCCCCCACGCTGCCTCCCAGCCCAGGCTCACCTTTGCCCAGGTCTTGGGGGTCCCGGACCCAGACCCCAGCCAGGAAGAGGGTGCAGAGCGGCTGCCGCAGGGGCCAGGCGTCGGCCCCGGTGGGGTGGATAGTGGGCTCCTGAGCCTGGGGCCCCGAGCAGGGGCCGAGCTTCCCCCACCCCGCCTCCCTGCCCCCTGCCCCCGGGCACCCCTGCAGCATGCAGGCAGGCCCTGAGGGGCCCTGGCACCTACCCTGGGTCTGGGGCGCCAGAGCCTGTGGTGCCCAGCCCAAGACCCTGGCAGGCAGGGTGCCCTCGCTGCACGTAGCCTCCCCAGGACGGCCTCACCGGCAGCTTCCTGCCCACCACGCCTCTGAGCCCTGCCGCACTGGACCCCAGCTGCCCACCCTCTGTCCTCCCTCGGCTCTGCCCGTCGGCCCTGCGGGCACGGTGCCGGGGGAATCCCGGTGGCAAGTCCCCCTGGGCTGTGGAGATGGCCCGCTGCCGTGCACCCATCCACAGCTCCTGGGTGGCCCCGTGGGCAGCACTGGGCAGAGCAGGCCCCGAGTTCCCACTGCTGCAGACGGACGTGGCCCCAGCTCACACCCAGGCCACAGAGCACACGTGACCCCTGGCGGGTGGGCCCAACGCTCTCTTCTGGGACCCACAGTCCCCCGACCAGGACCTGGTCTGCATGGGAGGCCAGGCCAGGACGGTGGGCTCTCCCAGCTCCATGGCAAGGGGTGGGGATGACCCTGACTAGAGCCCACCCTGCACCCCTCTCCCCACAGCTCCCAGGGTGGGCCCTCCCAGGGCAGGGCAGGGCGGTTTCTCTTGGCCCTGGGCTGGGGACGAAGGGGACCCAGGAGTCCTGCCAGGGGATGGGCTGAGCTTCCCCAAACCACTGCTTGAAAGAGGTTAGATGACCTCTGATGAGGGGCTAGGCCAGGCTGGGGAGGCTGGACCTGGGTGGCTAAGTGTCAAAGGTGACGGCTGAGCCCCAGGGCCCTGTGGTGAGTCCCCCCCTTGGTGAAGTGGGCTCTGTACACATCACTGCTCGCTCCTCAGGGCAGCCTCCTGGACCCAGGGTCAGAGGCCACTATCCGGCAGCTCCTCGTGGAGGCCTGGCCAGCCAGGGTCTCCTCTCAGCCCTTCTCTGCCCACTGCGGGTCCCAAGCCCAGGCTGGCCAAGCCACCGGAGCACCAGGCCAGGGCTCCAGCTGACGTCCAAAGGACCCATGGCCCAAGTGCACGGGAGGTCAGGGCAGACCTGCACTGGCCCCGAGGGCCTGGGGGGCACAAGCACGGCTGCCCGCAGCGCCCTCGGTCCTTTGCTGCACCAGGCCGTCCGTGTGTGGGGGCAGGGCTGACAGGTACACAGTGAGAGAGAGAGAGATGCCAAGCGTCTTTTTCCTTTTAAAATCAGGCATTTATAAACAAGAAAGCATACATTAATTACATAAAAATAGTTTTCCAATAGCAGAGAAGCCATCGACTGTCATTAGCAGCAGCATAGGACAGGGTGCGGGTGCAGGTTATAAGGTGGAGGTGGGGTCTGCTTCCGCGATCCTGCCTGAGCGGAGAAGGGCGCCTCCCGCCAGGGTGGGGGCGGTCCCGGGGGCCGGGGGGCTGGCTGGAGGCGCCCGGGGCTGCTCCGTCCCTCCAGCGGATGAGCATCTTTTCCCTCAGTTAAAAACAACCCAGAAAATAAGACGATAACAGGTAAGAAACGTCTCTAAAAAGGACCCGCCATACACAGGTATGAAACAGGGCGTGAGAAGAGGCGTGTTCACACGCCGGCCGCTCCACACTGGCTGGTCYGGGGGGAGAGCGGGGCGGCGGGGCGGTCAGCTGCTCTCCGAATACGAATGTTATTGCTGTTGTTTTTCCTCGTTAACAATCTCCTTCCGCAGAGAAACCACGAGGCCACACAGTCCCCGACGGTGGCTACACACAGGGAGAGTCAACAGCCAACGCAAGATACCTCTTCTCCCTCTTCATGAAGACAAGCTCACTGTACCTCACTGACGGGGGTCGGGGGCCAGGTGAGGGGCCGCAGCAGGGCTGCCCCTGGAGGGAACCGGCAGGGACCACCCAGCGCCCCACCCACTCACCCGGGGCAGGGACCCGGGGAGCCAGGCAGAGGCAGCCGAGCTGCCCAGGAAGGCCCGGGCACAAGCTGCTGGTGAAGGAGCCTGCCCACCCCATCCTACCGCCCACTGGCTCTGGCAGGAAGTGGTGGCAGGCCTGGGCCCAGGTGGGACAGACTCGCGAGACCACAGGACCTTCCCCGCGGCCAGCTGGCACGCGGGAGTTCCACCACGTCACAGCACATCCCATCCTGGAAGAGGGCCTGGGTACCAGGGTGACCAGGCAGGGCCAGGAGGCCCTGCCCCAAAGCGGCTGAGAACAGCGTGTCCCTCCGGGGCCCAGCACACTGCAATCCTCAGACCTGGCGAGAAAGAGCCACACACAAGCACGCCACACACTTAAAGCTTTGCTCCAACTGAATCCTTTAGTTTCCCTTCAAGAAATGACTGAAAAAACACAATTCTGGAAAAACATGGTTGGAAACAGCGTTCTGCGTGCTGCGTAACAAAACGGACCCTTTACAAGAAGACACGGTAATAATGCCCATGGACGGGTCTACCTACGGCAGGGCGCGACACCCCATGCATACAGGTCTCGTAACTGCAAAAGGAAAAGAAAAGCCAAAGAAAAACCCCAAACAAACGCTGCCTATACATGATGTCCCTTTGCATTGCACTTCACAAGGGGGTCCCGGCAGCCACCGGGCCCCCTCAGTAAACCAAGGGCAAGACCCCACAGGCAATTTCGTCACCCGGGCGACAGGGCTTAGCAGTCTCTGGTCTTTGTTGGTCGCTGCCGGCGGTGTTGGGCGATTCCAAGGCCCTCGGCCCTGCACGCGGGGGTCCCTGCCTCCCCCGCGTGCAGGGCCTGGGCGCCAGGACTCGAGCGGACTCCTGTGCCATCGCCCACGTAACGAAGACCACAACTTCGGAGGGTGGCCGCCTCTGTCTACTGGGAAATCATCCTTCAAGCTTGGGCATAGAAACCTTATACAATTGCATAACAGTTGAGGGCAAACGAGATTATTTGGAATAAATGCAAGTAACCTATTCTGACAGTGGCAGGTTCAGTCGCTGCTGAGACGATGTTGTGGGGGTGAGAAGACGAGTCGGGCTGGCTGTACAAGACGCTGGAAGGCACAGAGCGACCCCCAAGTTCAGTTTCTGCGATTCGTTTCTTGTGATTCCCTTGTTCAACCAAGCACCAGAGGGGTTCCCAGCACTCAGCACTTAGGGTTTGAACTGCTCTAGAAATCGGTAAAAACCTTAGTTAACGGGAGTAGAAAGACAGGGCAGGTTCTGACAAAGTGCAGTTCTAAGTATACATTTAAATGAACAAATAAAAAAGTAAATAATGCTGTGTTTTGTTCCGATGCTGCAGCCTCAGTCCCCAAACGGGGCCCCAAGGCCGACTGGAGAGGCTCCCGCGGCCCAGGTGCTCCTGCCTGGCCACGCCACGCCTGCCCGGGGCCCGCACCTCGCAGGGGGGCGCTGGGTGGTGGAGCTGGGGGCAGAGGAGCCCAGGGCTGGCGGGTCCCGCGCCCACGCGGCTCTGCTTCCTGGGGCCTGGGGCAGCGGCATGGCGGGGGGGTGGGGTGGCCAGGGGCGGCGTAAGGCGGGCAGTGCTGGGCTCGTCCGGCTCGCGGCGCTCTCCCTGCTCCTCCTGGCAGCAGCAGGAAGACCTGGGTCCTTGTTGCTGAAAAAATAGACTCTGAAGAAAAACCCTTGCTGTCCTCACGGCCGCGGGCGCAGACGCGCGGTGATGGCTTCTGGGCGGGCACACACCGCCCGCCACGTGGGCCCCACATGGCGACGGCCGGGGCTCCGCAGTCAGTCTTTTAAAAAACGTGTTGGCTTTCTGAGTATCAAGTCTCCTTGTGGATTTTAAATAGCTTATAACAAAAGTGTCCACGTTAGAACCTCCGGCCACAGAGGCTGCGCCGCGGCTGCTCCCCGGCACTGGGCCAGTGGGGATTCTGCAGTGGATCCCGACAGTGCGTGGCGCCAACACTCACTTGGTAGTAGGCACAGAAGAGACGTTGTGCTGGGGGCTGCACCCCACCTGCGGCCCGCTGCCCCGAGTTGTGTCCGCACCCGACACGGGCGGGCGGCGCTCAGCTAGGGCTCCGGCTCGGCACTGCCCTCGCCTCCCGTGTTCTCCGGGCGGGGCCGCGGCCACAGCTGCTCCTGCAGCTCCTTCACCACCTTCTCCAGGTGCTCCCGGGCCTCGCGCTCCCGCAGCAGGTCTGCCCGCAGCTGCTCGCGGTCCGCCTCCGCGTGCTGGAGCTTCACCTGCAAGTCCTCAATCTGAAAGGGACCCAGGCGGTCAGCAGGGATGCCTGGCCCTAGGCCTCTCGCCCGAGGCCCCGTCTCCCTGGGCTGGCTCCTGTTCACCTGCCTCGTGCCCACCGCACCTCTCTGCCCCTGGGCTGCGAGGCAGGGCCTGGAGGGCGGCTCGGGCACAGCAGGCCAGCAGCCCCGCCCTACCCTGGTCCCAGGGCTTGGGCCAGCTAGTGCCCACTTGCATGAAGCCATGCAGCACCTTCCCCGTCTCCCCAAGGCCCGCATCTGGGAAGGCTCTGCTCCGTGCCAGGACACCCTGCCTGCTGGGGTGGTACGGCCCAGTCCTGTGATCCACCAGAGTCCCCCTCCACCCCGGGCACGGGCTCCCTGCGCCCTGGGCTCGCTTCAGAGCTTGTTTCTCAAAAAAAAAAAAAAACCACCAAGAGAACGTGGACAGGAGGGAGCCCTCAGAGCTGGGGCCACGCGGGTCCCGACGGGGAAAGGCCCTCGGCCTGGCCTGCGACTCAGCCCTGCCCGTCGTGGGCACGTGGCGGCCCGCCACCAGGGTCCACGCAGCCCCTCAGCCATCGGGTGGCACCTGTCTGTCCCTGCGCCTCGGGCCCTGCTGCCTACCTGCGCGGAGTACTTGGCCCGCAGGCGGCCGGCCTCGCAGCCCTTGTCACACACCCGGACCTGCCGCGCCTGCTCCAGTTCCCGCTTGAGGCGCACCCGCGACTCGTTGGCCTCCTTCATCTTCTTCTCGTTCTCTGCGCGGAGGCGCTCGATCTCCTTCCTCAGGCTGCGCTTGGCCTCGGTGGCCTCCCGCAGCTTCTCCTTCTTGGCCACACGCAGGAACTCCAGCTCCTGAGGGCAGGCAGGCCCGGGTCACGGCCAGCCCCTGCCTCCCACGTCCACCCACGTCCCAGAGCTCGTCCACACCTACCAGGCCCAGATGACCCCAGCCAGCCACGTCACTGCTGGGTACACCTCCTCCCCCAGAGGCCCATGCCACAGACTCCTGGGGGCCAGCACACAGTGGGGCCACAGCATCCAGGCCCCAGGCCCAGGCCGCCCCCCTTGTTAGAACACTGGTGACTCACACTTCTCTGCAGACGCCTCCTGAGCACGCGTGGGAAGTCCCACCTCCACCCAGAACTGGGACAATGTGGTGGGGGCAGGGCAGACACTCGGGGCCACCTAAAACCCTGCAGCTCCCAGGGCCCCGGGCGAGTTGTGCTACAGCCCACGCAGGTGGAGCCCCCGGAGCTAACGACGCCAGCCAGGGTGAGGACCAGCTGCCGGGCGAGCCTCCCTCCCCAGGCAGTTGCCTGGCCTGTGTCCCCCTGGTTCCCGCGGGGACCATAGCACAGTGGCGAGGCAGCCAGGGCGCAGTGCAGTGAGGTCTGCTGCTGACCCTGGAGGGTGCGGCGGCTCAGCAGCAGCCGCGGCTCTCACGCCCAGTGCCCAGCCAGAGATGGTCTCAGCCCCTGAAGAGTCCAGCCTGCAGAACACTGCACGGGGTGCCCTTCCCGAGCTGGGCTCCACACGGGCCTATGGCTGGAATGTGGTGGCCAAACCCACCGCAGGGGCCTCCCTGGAAGCCCCGAGGGACTTCTGGAGATGAAACGGCCCCGTCAGGACCTCGGCACACTGGGAAGGCCCCCAGAGGCGCAGGGCACCCAGGAGGCAGCTGGGAGGGAGGCAGGTGCCCAGGGCCTGGGGTCCCTCAGTGCCCCACTGCCCAGCTCACCTGGTGCAGGCTGCGCTTGGCCTGCAGAGCCGCGCTCAGCTTCTCCTCCTGCTTCACGCGCATCTTGACCACCTCGTGCAGGAACTTCTCCTTGGCTTCCCGGGTGTCCAGGCCGCCCTCCAGGGCCTGCCGGAGGTGCTCCAGCTCCGCCTCCAGCCCGCTCGGGGTGTCCACGGGGGCCACAGCATCCGGGGCAGCCGCGGGCGGGGCGTGCACTCCTGGGGAACTCAGGTCCTTGGCAGAGCTGGACGAGGTAAAGGACGGCGAGGACAGCGAGGACAAGGAGGAGGTGACTGGGGAAGACAGGCTGAAGTCAGGGGTGCTCGAGGGGGGCTGGGGATGCCCAGGACACGGCCCAGCAGGCTCTGCCCAGGGTGCTGCCTGCAGGAAGCACCGAAGGGAACTTACACTCCTCTCTGCTCTCAACCTCGACCTCGGCCTCCGAGTCCTTGTCCTCTTCGGGGGCAGCGACGGGTGCCACTGTCTCTGGAGCTCCTGGGGTGTCTGTGGTCAACTTCCGCTTGCGCGGCTGAATGCACGAGGTGAGAGGCTCGGGGGCCCGGGAGACGGCAGCGGTGCACGGCGGGCTGCTCACCACCTTCTGCTGGGCTGGTGGCGCGAGGGCCACATTGGGGGCCACAGCCGTCTCGAAGCTCTTGTAGGAGTAGAAGCTGCCAAGGGCATGGCAGGCGTGGGCTGGGAAGGGGCCCCGCGCCCAGGGCCGCCCGCCCTCCACACAGGGCCAGCACCATGACAGTCCCAGGGGGTCCAGGAGGCACGTTCTCCCCACGCTGACCCTCAGTCAGCCTGGTGCCCGGCAGGGCTGGACCGTGGACAAGCCACGGGGAAGCCCGGGAAGCTGTGGGAAGCTCGCTGGCACCCGAGGGCCCCGGCCAGAGGCGCAGGTCGGGCACTCACCTGTCTCGGATCAGGGCCGGGAGGTGGGGGGAGAGCTCTTTTTCACTTGTGGACACTGCAGGGGACCAGGGTCGGAAAGCAGAGAGGCGCTGGCGAGGGTGAACGCAGCCCAGGCCCTGTCAAGAGAGTTGCACGGTCAGCGGACGGAGAGGCCAGGCCAGGTCCACCTCCCAGGGACCCCACAGGCCCTGGTGGAGCACCTTATTGGAGGAGGCAGCCAAGGTCCGCAGCCAGCTGGACTGCTTGTCCTTCTCAGGGGACGCGGGGGGCTGAGAGCAGGCAGCATCCGTTTTGGGTCTCATGGAGGCCGGGGGCTCAGAGGACACCTGCGATCAACACAAAAGGCCCCGTTGGCACTGCTGGGCCACCACCGCTCCGGGCCACGAGAAGCCCTGTGGGCACACAGGCACGTGGCACGTGGAGCACCGAGAGCCCAGCTCGCGGCTCCGGAGGCCTTGGGCAGAAAGGCCACCGTCATCCCCACGGGAACAGAGCAGTGCCTGTGCGGTGTGACGAGGTGACCTCACCCCACAGCTGCAGGCTCTGGCCTCCACAGAGGCCTCGTCCATTCACGCCACCTCCTATGGCATGCTGTGCTCCTGCACAGACCTAGAGGGAGCTGCTGTCCTGCCCACGCAGGGATGGGGCTGACCCAGCACCGGGCCGTGGCACCTGCTGAGGCCAAGCACGGACCCGATGTGACGCTGCCTGTGGGCGAGGAGACCGCAGAGTGCCCGGCGTGGCCACTGCCACCACTCTGCTAGAGAGCAGACGTCTCAGCTGTCTACCGCCAAGCAAGACAGGCTCGACAGGCACGGCCCTGGGGGCCTGCAGTCGGAGCTGGGAGGTGCGCCCTCCACCCTAGCTTGTCCTAAGCACCAGCTCCGGCTCCCGAGTGCCCCACACGTGCCCCTGGAACCAGAGACACCAGTGCTCCCGGCCCAGTCAACGTGGAAAAGCCAGCGACCTCCCAGATGTCCCTGAGCCAAGGCTCCAAACCTGAGGGACATTTCATCTGCAAACCAACAGACACAGGGTCTTTCCAGAGCAAAAAGGCAGGAGACCGACTGTCCTTCCTGAGCCTGGCGCCAGAGCAGGCATGACGCGGGGCCGGCTCTCCGGACCCAGGGAGGGCCTCGGGGCAGCAGAGCCAGGGTCCAACTTGGGGGCCTGGAGAGAGGCTCCCTTGCCAGGGACAGAGTGCTAGATGCAGGGCTCCTCCTACCTTCCAGGGACATTGGAGGAAACCCTGTCAGCAGCTAGTCCTGTGGGGGGCAGCAGGACCCTGCTTCCCAGGGCAGGGTCGCCAGGAGGGCAGGCTGGGCTCAGGAGGAGCAGGAGACCCCCTCTCCTCTGGGCCAGGACCTGGCGGGTGCAGAAACCCTGCTGTGGGCAGTTTCCAGAACCTGCTCTCAAGCTGCCACACAGCCACCTGGGCAGGTGTGGAGCGGGTTCAGCCTCTCAGGGCGACCACTCCGGGGCTGCCCCAGGCCCTACAGGCCCTGCGGGGGGGGGGGGATGGCAGGGCCCCCTGGGGAACTACTGTGAGGGCACGAGGGCTGGCGCTGCCAGCGGGGGCTTCCTGTCAGCGGGCGGAGGGCAGGAGTGGAAAGCGAGCTCTGTTCGCACCGGAAAGCCACAGCCGCGCATCAGACGCCCGTCAGACGCCCGTCAGACGCCCGTGTGCCCAGTCGAGAAGCCCGGCGGGTCTGGAGAAAGGTGTGGAGGGAGGCGGGGTGGGGCCGGCTGCGGAGGCCACCGTGCCCAGGGTGGGGTCCCTGGGGGGGCTCTGTTCTCACCCCCACAGCGAACACCACCTCTCACGAGGCGAGGCCGACTGGTTCTCCAACCCCAGCCCCACGGGGACTTGCCCTCAGCACCAGGGGGCCCAGCAGCGCGACAGTGACAGACACCGACCGCGTCACCCTCTGAGGACTGGCTGAGACAAGGTGCTCTGGTGTGTGACCTCCTTAGGGCCCTCACCCGCCTCACAAGGCCAGAGACTGAGCAGGGCTGCCCAGAGCAGCCCTAGGTCCACGGGCGCAGGCCACAGCCCACCCCGGCCACCTCCCCTGGAGCCCCGACAGGAGATGCTGCTCCCCACGCCCCACCAGCAGGGGTAGGCCTGTCCAGGGCCAGGCGGGCAGGAAGACCAGGGAACCAGGCAGAGACCCCGCAGCGTGGCAGCCGGCAGCAGGGGAAAGCCGAGGGGTCCCGCGTGTGTTCACAGCTGGGGGGGGGGGACACGCCCCGCCTCCAACTGACCTGGGCCGAGGCAGAGCCGCCAGATGACAGGTGTCTGTGGCACAGGGTGGCCAGCAGGGGCCTGCCAGCTCCAGAGCCCCAGGGCTCCTCCCAGTGACCCTGAACCTGGCTGCAGCCCCACCCCGGAGGGCACTGCAGGAGGGGCCACTGAGGGACCCTGATCCGGGCCCAGCTCCCCTCCCTGTTTCTCAGAGAAACAAGCTCCTGCTGCAGGGCCTGCCTGGTCCCCCTCCCAGCAGCTCCTCACACCCTCCCTGGGGCAAGTGGGGCAGCAGACGAGGGAGAGGAACTGACCGGCACACTGCCCAACCTCCCCACAGTGCCCTGGCCACTCTGCCCGACTGGATGGTCCTCAGGGTCTGCTGAGCAGCAGGGAGAGCAGAAGACCAGCTACAAGGACCTGGCCACGCAGGGCACAGCCCAGGCAGGGAGCCACCCTGGGCACACCAGGGTCCTCATCAGGCTCCGGCCACATCGTGGGGAAATACCTCGCCTGGCACCCCTGACACCAATGGGGCCACGCTGCCCAGAAGGCCACAGCCCCTCGGAGGAGCCTCTGATGTCCACTGAGGCCCAGCTTGTACCTGCTTCCACAGCAGGAGGAAGTGGACACTCGGGGAGAGGCTCCGGGAACAAGCCGCTTCCCAGTCTCGGGCCCACAGACCCGCTCCCAGGACACGAGGGGACCTGGGCGCCTGCCGTCGCCCACGGACGGCTCACAAGCACACCTCCTCCCAGCCCGCTCAGGAGGCGCATCTCCGCCATGAGGGCCTCCACGAGGGCCTCCACCTGGGCTCCCTGTGGCCGTCTGAGCCCAGCTGCGGAGCCACGTGAGCCCCAGCTGCACCAGGCCTCTCAGGAACTCATGGCAGGCGCCAGGGAGGCTGAGGCAAGGGACAGCCTCTGGAGCCATCAGCAGAGACAGGTGACCCCAGGGCAGGTGGCCCTCGCTGTGGCTTTCTGACCACACCAGGCTGCTTCTCGGGGCCTCTGGCTCGGGGCCCGTGGAGGCCGCAGCAGGGCTCAGGTGCCCTCTGGCCCAACCGCACGCTGGGCCTCGCAGCGGGAGCTCCCCGCCTGTACAGCCACGGCCCAGGCGCCAGGTACCGGGCACCAATGCCCATGAACCCATAGGGAAAGCCTCTGAACTGCCCTGTCCGGGGCCAGGCCCCCAGGGCCACGCCAGAGCAAGGGGGCCGGGAGGCCATGGAGGGAGGACAGGTCCCCCCAGAGGCGTGTGTGCAGGGCCACCCACAGCCAGGCCTGACAGGATGGGGAGAGCAGGCCAGGCCTGTTGGTGAGGCAAGAGCCAGTGTCCAGGGGAGCAGAGATCTGGGCTGAGAGCCACGCAGGAAAGGCAAGGCACGAAGGGACACAGGGAGGCCCCAACCAGTGCAAAGGGCCTGGGGCTTGGGGCTGAGTTCTGGCCCCAAGTCCTCAGGGACGAGGAAAGGACAGTCAGGGCTGCTGCCTCCTTCCCGGGAACCCTGGTCCACTGTGGGCAAGGGCAGCTTCCACCTCACCTGCCCTGCAGCGGGCTGCCGTAGGAGAGGGCCCACCAGGACCAGGACCACCAAGCAGCGGGTCCCCGAGCCTCAGCCTAGGACGCCTGCTCCGACTGGCCACCCTCAGACACCTGGGAGGCCCCCTGTGGCGACCTTCCTGGGCCACAGCAGCCCAGCAGAGCCGGCCTCCACCCCCCGGGACAGGCCAAGGCCCCACGAGCCTGACGCAGAGGATCCGCCGTCCTCTACCTGGGGCCTGAGGCAGAACGACCACTCCCTCAGCACGGAGCTCTGGGCAGCGTCCTGGGCCCTTCCCTCCCTGGGGACTTCGCACCTCTCAGGCTGGGACCTATGCCAGGCTGTGCACAGGGGCCATGCACCAGTCAGAACACAGCAGCTACTGCGCGCCTGCAGCGGAGCGGCACACCTGGACGACACGCCTGGACGCCTCACGAGGTGGGTATCTGTGGCCGCTCAGAGGACGCGTGGCTAGCTGGGAGGGCCCGCCTGCCTGGCTGTCGGGGCGCCAGCGGTGCCTGCAGCCATGCYAGGCTGCTGTGTGACCGGTGGCCTCTGCCTGGCCTGGAGGACTGGCCAGGGCAGGATGCGCCTGGGGTGCAGGGCCAAGGCTGCAGACGCGAGCTTCTAGGTGAGGGAGCTCTCGGTGGGGCCCCGACGTGGACTGCAGGCCACGCGGGGTGATACCAGAGGGCAGCTCCCTGGGTGGGAAACAGCCATGACCCGGGGGTAATGACCAGGGGCCCCGGGGCAGCCCAGGTGGGGGTGCCTCCACTCCTCACTGGCCGCCTGGGGCGTACTGCAAAGAGGAGGGGCTGGTGGACAGCTRTGTGGTGCACCAGGGGCACCAGCCCCCCGCCAGCCTCCTGGCAGGGCAAGGGCAAGGCTGCGGAGGCCAGCAGGGAAGCCCAGCGGGCCTCTCACCCGGGGCCACAGTCCCTCGGCTTCACTTACCCACAGAGCCAAGACCAATATGAACCATCTCAAAGTCCTGCAGAGACTCGAGTCCAGGACTCAAGAAGCYGAGGCAGGAGGATGGCAAGTTCAGGGCCAGCCTGGGCAGCTTACTAAGACCCAGTGAGTCACTGGAGAGAGCCCTGGGTGCCACCCCCAGACCAGAGGAAAACCCCTCTCCACATCCGACCTCACCTGAGGGCCTCTGCCGGGCCTCCACAGGCCTGGCCTTCAGGGGCAGACCTCCGAGAGGTCCAGGACTGCTGCGGCAAGCAGACCCAACAGGTGTGCCCCAGCGAGAACCCTAAGGAAGCCTGCCTGCCTGCCATCCCCAGTGTGGGSAGTCAGCCCTGGGCCCAGGGACACAGCAGGGCACACAGCAGTCCTCACACCGATGTCACAACTTCTCCAACCAACAGGGACTCGGCAGACTGGAGAAGAGGCTCCCACTGCTCTGCAGCCCAGCAGCAGCCCAGTGCCACCCTGGGGACCCAGCATTCCCACGGCGGCAGAGCACCAGGCTTGGAGAGGTGCCGGGCGCGGCAGCCCTGGGGACACTCTGTAGGTGCCCGTGCTTCCTGCAG